ATTAAATTATGTAATACTCAGATTTATTTTCTACAGTTGCAAATATCTGAAGATATAACCTACATTAACAAAAGATTTTGGGGGGACCTGGGAATTTTTAGGAGTGTAAGGAAGTCCTGAAACCTAAAAGTTTAGGTACCATTGTTCTAGGTTGTTGTCTTATGCCTTATTTTTCCAACTGTATTGGTAAGTACTTGAAGGCAAAAGTTTAACCAGCATTAGCATTTTTTATATCTTTTATTCTTCTGTTCTCTCAGTGACTGTGTCTTTCCTATTCATTTTCTTCCTTTTTTTTTTTTTTTTTCCTTGAGTTGGCGTCTCACTCTGTCACCCAGGCTGGAGGGCAGTGGCACACTCATGGCCACCCTACTGTCAACCAGCTGAGCTCCGGCAATCCTTCTGCCTCAGCCTTTCAAGTAGCGAGAAATACAGGTGTGCACTACCATACCTGGCTGATTTTGTATTTATTTATTTATTGTAAAGACGGGGTCGTCCCCGAACTGGTCTCGAACCTGGGGATTCAGGCAATCCACTCGCCTCGGCTTCCCGAAGTGCTGGAATTACAGGCTGAACCACTGAGATCAGATGATTTCTTTCACTGTGTGTGTTATGCGTTTCTGTGTCAGTCCCGCCAGGTATAGGTTCTTGAGACGGCACACTGCTTGGCTGATCTTTGTTTTTTATTTTCTCTCTGTGCCCTGTGCTTTGCTTAACAAGGCTCAGTAATTGTGTGAAAACATAGTGTAGTGAAGGACTATGAATTTTTTTTTTAAAGTCTTAACAAATCTATAAAAATTTTTATTTTCATATTTCTTCCAAAATAGTCATTGTGTGGGACTGTGTAGTTATGCTGTTTAACGTTAATGCCAAAAAATATATTTGTGTCTTGTGCTTTATAATTGCCTTCATTATAGGCCTAGTCTGGGAAGGTGTAGAAATGTATATATTCTCAGAAATGACAAATTTTTATCTTTTAAGTATAGTTTTGACTTTTTGAGAAAGTTTGAAGTCATTTGAAAGCAAAGAGTAAGGTGACTGTTCATGACCTAGTTTTCTGCATCATATATATAATTCTAATGGCAATTTCAAAACGTTAGGTAGATATTTTTGCAAAGTATTTTTCCTTTTGGAATACTAGGTATTTATTAAGCTCCTATTGTGTTATTATGTTTTTTGTTGGTTTCTGCAATGTATATTGAGGGGTGTAAGGGGATAAAGATGCAGCAACTTTGGTCTCAGTCCTAGAGGTGAGAAAATATTTAGGGTCAGGTTTCATTTCAAATTGTTGGCCATTTGCCTTCAAAGATGGAACAAAAAAAATTGTTCTGGGTTATATGCTAAAATAGTTTGTGGGGCTGAAACAAGGCAACAGACTAGAGGACCTACAATTTTATTTAGGCTGCAAATCTCCTGGAGTTGTTATATTGTCTCATAGTGGATGGCAGCACTAACACTTGATGCTCTTTGATGCAGGTTCTGCCAGTAGAATGGCTGTTATATTATTAGCCTCATTCCTTGTTGAGTAAGGAAAAAACAGGTTTTAATTATTCGAAGCAGAGTTACATGCCGGATTTATGAATATTAGGCTAACTATCTCCAGTTTCTGACAGAATCCTACTCTGACATGGTAGAGGAGAAAATAAAAGAAAAATCAGCTATCAGCCCGGTTGCTTACTCCTGCTCCCAAAATTCCTCTCATTTTCCTTTAAGTGTGTCTTGCTGTTTAAGTCTCTCTTCCTCTCTCCATCTCCATTACTGCCTTTTGGACTTTACATCCTACTATACATATTTAACTTTGTCCATCATGGTTTCCAGAGCCTGAAGAGAGAGCAAGAAATAAAATTAGCCACCCTATGATATTTGCAATGTTTGTAAATAAAAAAGAATAGATGATATATTGCAGTATTTTAACTTTGTTCTCAATTTGTTGGTGGCTTTCTCGAAGTCATCAATTTTGAGTGGGAAGATCACATCCTTAATCTGAACTCTTTCTTGGAGCTCATTTCAATAGTCTTTCTGTTGTTGTTGTTGCTCACAGGCTTGTTCAATCTTATTTCAAAATCTGAGATTCTATGGGATACTTACCAGATTTTAGGTCGCTTTAGAGTTGATGATCAAAAGTTTTGTACTTTCCAATTTTCAGAATGGTTTCTAAAGTTTCTGATTTACAACCCTTAGAACAAACAGATCAACCAAGTGTCAAAGTATAATTTTCAAAAAATAAAAAACAAGACTTGTTTAGTAGTATATGTAGTGGGTTTTTGCATGGGTCAAAGAATGACCTAACACATTAATGAGAAAGCAAGCAGGATGACAAATTAGGTCAAAGGAGATTACAGAAGAATAATACTAGTTATAAGGAATCTGGAGAAGGGTTACTTGTTTCTCGGCCTTCTGACCTCCACAATGCTTTCAGATTGGGGGCAAGATTCTGGCTGCCTTAATGTCTTGACTTGATTTGCATGTAAAGAGATGTGATTTGATTAATTCAACCTGAATGATCATACTGGAGAACTAAATCACAGAAATCAAATTTACTTGTCCATAATTTATAAACCAGGATGCCAATTTATAGTAAAGAGAAGTTCAGTGACCTCGTAATCAAGACCCCAACACAGTTATTTTCCTGGTATATACAATCACTTAGCTGGGTTTCAGATGAGGAGGGGGCTCACTGCACATAGAATTAGAGCAAAGTAACACATTCTTATTTGATTTATTTTACCAAAATGTATTTGTACAATGGTTTCAGTTGTTTGACTTTCAGTAATTTCTTACAATTCTTACACCCAAAGTCACTTTGAGGGATGGCCAGTCTAAAGTGTTTTTCTATGGCTGCTAATTCATCCATCTCTAATCTCATTAGACTGTTAATTCCCAGAAGACATAGGCATTAAAAACACTGTTTCCAAATGTTATTTAATAAAACCATAGGGTTATTTTTCATCTAAAAGATGCCTCACTTTTCATTCATTATTGAACTCAATTTGTATAATCCCTTTTGAATTTATCATGATGTAAGGCTGATATCTCTAATACATATTGTTATGAAAACTTATATTTGAAAGGGAATTTTTTTGGTGAGTTATACTATTTCCTTTGTCCCTAACTATAAATACGTACTTATATTAAATATATGAGCTAAGTTTATACCTTGCCTTTTCGCTCAAGGGGAAAAAAAACAACAACAATTACTTGAATCCAAAGGGTGAAATATAAAGCAGTAAAGTAGCAACGCAAACTTTAGAATAAAATAGTTTCAAAGAGAATGAGGTGATTTTATTTTATTTTATTTTTAACTATTTTATTTTATATTCAGGGGGGCACACATGCATATTCATTACATAGACTTACTGTGTAGTGGTGGGGATCGGGTCTCAAGTGATCTATTCCCCATATAGTGAATATTGTGCTCCGTAGGTAGTTTCATGAACATGTTACCGTTTTTTTGTCTGTCCTGTTGGCGACCTGGACCCCCAAGGGAAGAAGTGATCTTAATTAAGTTCATCAACAATAGACAGTATTGGCCACGTGCAGTGACGCACTTGAAATGCCAACGCTTTTGAGAGGCCGAAGCAGGATTGCTTGAGAAAAGGAGTTCAAACCAACCAGAGCAACATAGCAAGACCTCATCTCTACAAAATATCAAAAAATTAGCCAGGTGTGGTGGCATGCAACTTTAGTCCCAGCTACTTGAAAGGCTGAGGTGGAACCCTCACCTGAGTCCTGGAGGTTGCAGCTGCCGTGAGCTGTGACAGTGCCACTTCTCTCCAGTCTGGGAGATAGAGTGAGAACCACCTCACCCCCCTTAAAAAAATATAGACAGTATAATAATTTATATGTTCTAGTACTTTTCCTATCTTTCTGTTAAAAAATTTGCTATTTTTTCTATTTAAAGTCAAAAGTGTGTTTTTTTAAAGTCAGTTATTTTATTTTAATCTATATCTTTGAGTTCCCATTTAGAGACTGTCCTTCTATAAGGTGATATGTGTGTAAGGTATTGTTGCTGTAAGTAACCTAAAATTTTCATGGGCTAAAATTGATGTCTGTATCGCAACATAAACAAACAAATGATTGTTTTCTTTGAAAACAAATCATCTCAATGTCTCTAAATAACAATTCTATTGGGTGTTCTCTGCAGGCTTAAGGGATAGTCCTCCTTCCCCTATTATCCCTATTCTTGAGGGCCAAACCCCCTGCCTCGCACAACTCAGAGGGGGACCTCAGAGCTTTTTAAAAACAGCCCAGTTTCTCGCCTGTAGAGAAGTGAAAAGGATGCCCCGCCCCCATCTATGAAAAGAGGGATTTGATAGTTTCAGTCTTCAAATCAAAGATTTAAGTCTCTAACCCCTACCACCCAGGACTCCCCTCCTCCAAGGCTTATGAACCCCCTTCCATCACACCCTAACTATTTTGGACTGGCCCTGGAATCCTTGTCCCAGTCCACAGTTCGTGTGGGTCTGTAAGCAGAATTCACAGAGGACCTGTGTTACTTCCCTTGAGAAGAAACAGAATTATCGTGAAAATGTAGGTGGAAGCCACTTCGTTTTTATTTAAAAAATAAAGGAAGCATGTGCCCAACCGCCCCTGAGAAAAAGAACTTTCGGGGGCAAAGGAGCGACTAGGTAATTTAGAAGAAAAACAGAAAGTGGTCTCTGATTGCCCTGGACTTCCTTCGGAGTTGGGGGAATTGGGGACGCCTGGACGCGTTGTCTTTGTGGTTGTGGAAAAAATAAATAGATAGCATGGAACCGGAGGCTTCTCGGATCCTTTTGTGACCAAACCTGGGCGATTTGGTGCGGGGCATTTTAATATTTTCCCCATTTTTTGAGGTGTAACAAACACAACTTGGGAGCAGCGCGGCGGCTCAGAGCCTGCCAGCCAGGCGGGCGACCAGAGCACCAATCAGCGAGCTCCTGCGCTCTATATATACAGCGGCCCTGCCCAAGTGCTGTTCCATCGGCGCTTCGCCACTTGTCCTCGAGTTGTTGGTCCTCAGTATGTCGGAGACTGCTCCAGCCGCTCCTGCTGCCGCCCCCCCGGCGGAAAAGGCCCCGGTAAAGAAGAAGGCGGCCAAGAAGCCCGCGGGGGCGCGCCGCAAGGCGTCTGGCCCCCCGGTGTCAGAGCTGATCACCAAAGCAGTTGCTGCCTCTAAAGAGCGTAGCGGGGTATCTTTGGCTGCACTGAAGAAGGCGCTGGCAGCCGCCGGCTACGACGTGGAGAAAAACAACAGTCGCATCAAGCTTGGTCTTAAAAGTCTGGTGAGCAAGGGCACCCTGGTGCAGACCAAGGGTACCGGTGCTTCCGGGTCCTTCAAGCTCAACAAGAAGGCGGCCTCTGGGGAAGCCAAGCCCAAGATCCGGAAGTCTGGCGCAGCCAAGCCCAAGAAACCCGCGGGGGCAGCCAAGAAGCCCAAGAAGGCGACCGGAGCCGCCACCCCGAAGAAAAGCGCCAAGAAGACCCCAAAGAAAGCGAAGAAGCCGGCCGCAGCTGCTGTGACCAAGAAAGTGGCCAAGAGTCCGAAGAAAGTTAAGGTTGCCAAGCCCAAGAAGGCCACCAAGAGTGCTGCCAAGGCCGTGAAGTCCAAGGCCGCCAAGCCCAAGGTAGTCAAGCCCAAGAAGGCCGCACCCAAGAAGAAGTAAGCGAACGTCTGCTTCTAAAACCCAAAAGGCTCTTTTCAGAGCCACCACTGATCTCAAAAGAGAGCTGAGTATTTTGCCTACCTTTTCTTTTTCCTTGTCAACTTTTCGTTTTTAGAGCATGGTTGCACAAGTCGGCTGAAAGCTACGGCTGACAAATTGAGCAACTGCAAGCTAGAGCGTGTGGCGGCTGCCAGATTGTAACACCTCGAGCCCCTTCCGGGGCTCGCTTGTCCCGTTGGTGTTCAGCTGTGCTGAGGCACTTTCCGCTGGTCGACGTGAGGTTAGCCGTCGGCCTCGCCCCACGCGCGTGCTGCGAAAGACAGCAACCTGAAAACGGGAACAAGTCTCAGTCTTAAGGGATACTCAGATTGGGCTAAAAAGTAATTCAAAAGTCCCGCCCTGCTCTCGGGTTGGCTCACTGCTCCAGCCCAAGACTTTCATTCTGTATTTAATTGGGTGGTGGCCGTCGTTGTTTATTCTGTATTTTTGCTTTAGGGTATTGAAAAATTTGCTTTTTTCACTCCATGGAAATCTGTCTGGTATTTCAGACACTTCCTCTGTTGACGTTCAAGGTGTTGGCGGAGTTGGTAACATTCAGCCCTGGGAGAAAAAAATGAATGCAGGAACCTTTTTTCTGCATTCCTTTGCTGATAATATCTGATTGCTGTTGCTGCTAAGACGTATTTAAAAAGCTGCTACAGCCCCAGCAGCAATTCCTTCGACCCAAGGCAGTGGTGGACCAGGGATCTTTTTGTTCCTTGTATCATGCAGCTTTTCGCCAAGGTATGATGAATTTGGCGTATGGAAAACACAACTTTTAGCCAGCTATTTTGGCCTTGCGTTTTGGCTACTTGTTCTCCCTTTATATAGACATCAACATCTAAAAGTCAGATTTTCTTCAAGCGTATGTTTTTTGGGCAGTCCATATGTTTCTACGAGAACAAAGCATTTATACTATAAATTATTGCAAGTGTACGGATGGGAGGCATGATTCTAATAAAGACCTTTAGTTTTCACTAAATGTTTTCCGGATTCTTTCATATCCACAGTTTCTCCTCATTACAGAGAGCTCAGAGTTCTATTTTAAAATTCTGGTGGGCACATTTTGGTGAGGTCCAGATTACAGGGACAAAGGCTTCTGGAGATCTGCAGCTGTTATTCTACTATTTCCACAATCATTACTGCAGTTAATTTCCTCATTTATGATAGTGCCCACGGATTTCGTCTAAAGAAAGAAAAGGAAGAAAGGGAAGCAAGGAAAAAGGGAAAAAAATCTGTTTTCTTTAAGTAATTTTGCATTGTTAATTTTACATTAACATTAAATAATTGAGTCCTCTTTATTTGGGGGTATGGCTTAATATATCGACTCATCCCCCCCCAAAAACCACTTATGAATTTTTTTTTGAGTTGGAGTCTCACTCTGTCGCCTAGACTGGAGTGCAGTGGCCGCTCCCGGCCACCTCAGCCTCGGCCTGCTGGGCTCCGGCGATCCTTCCCCCTCAGCCTTCCAAGTAGCCAGAATTACAGGCATGTGCTACCATGCCAGGCCGATTTTTTTGATTTATTGTAGAGATGAGGTCTCGCTGCCCAGGCCAGTCTCGAACCCCGGGGCTCAGGCAATCCACTCACCTTAGCCTCCCAAAGGCGCGGGATTTCAGGCTGAGCAACGGATCCCGGCATGAACTCTTATTTCTGCCTCCTCCTCTCATAATTTGGATCCTGCATTTTTGGTAGGCTACATTCCATGGATAGATGGACTCAATTTAGGGTTTCTATTTTGTTCCTTTGGTCTTTTTGGCCATTCCTAGGGTAGGATCACACTGTTTTGAGTATTGTTCACAGCTGAGAAGAGCAAATGACACATAGCAAATAGTACTTAAATATTTAGTACTTTAGTCAAGCCTACTTCACAATGCTTAATTACCCTATTCACCTCTCTTCATCTCATAACGTAGGCATTGTGTCATCCACATCATCATAAGAAGGAATATCATACGATAAGATATATTGAGAAAGAAGTTACAATCACATACTTTTCATTACAGTACATCAGGGTTTTTTGAATCGTGATCTCTTTCACCCTGGCTGGAGTGCAGAGGCACTATTATGGCTCACCACAGCCCCAACCTTCTGGGCTTAAGGGATCCTTCCACCTTAGCCTCCCGAATAAGTGGGGCTACAGGCACGCACCACCACATCTGGCTATTTTTTTCTGTTTTTTTGTGAGACAAAATTTTGCTATGTTGCCTAGACTGGTCTTGAATGTAGGCATTGTGTCAAGCAGTCCTCCCACCTGGGCCCCCCAAAGTGCTGGGGTTACAGGTGTGAGACACCACGCCCATCCACATTACAGTACAATGTTAAAATTGTTCTATTTTGCTATCAGTCATTGTTAATCTCTTACTGTGCCTAAATTACAAATTAAACTTCATCATAGGTATGTATGTATAGAAAAAAACCGTATATATAGGATTAGGTACCATCTGTGGTTTTAGGCATACACTTGGGACCTTGGAATGTGTCCCCAGAGATAAGACAGGGCTGATGTAAATGAATGTTTAATAACTAAAATGACTTTAATAGTGGATTGAGCTAATTCCTTTTCATTATTTTTTCCCAGAATTTTCCTATTCTATTTTAATCTATTTTTCCATATGTACTTTAAGATGACTCCTCTAACTCCACCCATCACACATTAAAAACAGACAAACAAAAACATGCTATAGGACGTTTTATTGGGATTGTGTATTTGTGAAGCATATTAATTTTGGGAGATGCTGAGTTTTCTTATTCAAGAATTTTTAAAAATTTGTTTAAGTATTTTTTTATGTATATAGAAACTTTTAAAATTTGTCTCTCTATAGCTTAGCATTTCTTATTACCTTTATTCTCAGATATTTTATCTTCTTTATTGCTATTGGAAATGGCAATCCATCGATTTTTAATTTTTTGAAGTCCAGCATTTTATAAAGTGCACATTAAAACTATTTAGTTATTGGAGATATATACATGAGTGAATTAATAATCTATAAAATAGGACTATCCATAGCTGCATAAGGTAAGCACAAATGCAACTCATATATGTCACTGCTTTTTGTAAAGATGGGGTATTGTTATGTTTTCCAGTCTAGTCTCAAACTTCTGACCTCAAGAGATCCTCTGGTCTTGGCCTTCCAAAGTACTAGGATTACAGTCATGAGTCACTATGCCCAGCAGATGAGCCACATATGTGATTTTAAACCTTGTAGAAGTCACATAAAGAAGGAAAAAAGGAACAGGTGAAAGCAGTTTTAATATGCTTTATTTAATCCAACATATCCAAAATATTATCATTCAACATAAAATCAATGTAAAAACACTTGTAAGATATTCTACATTCCCTTTTGTTTCTCATAGTAAGTTTCTGTAATCTCACATATGTTTTACACTTACAGCCCATGTTGTTTGTGGAGATGATGGGGCCATTACAACTATAGAATGCTCCTTGCTCTCCTTCTGATCTTTGACTTCATTTTTTGGTTCAAAGCTGGAATATAAGTGTTGCATATAATGCACTGTGTTTTATGTACTAAAATTTTGAGGATACAGCGTATCTGACACTAAACAATGGTAGACTGGCTAGAGGTCATTGAGCTAATTTGAATCAATCAAAAACTTCAAAAACAGAAATGAGGAATAGAAGCTGAGGTGATCTGATGTCAGGGGGTGAGGACTGCCTTTTTATGTATCACATAAGAGAAGCCAAGGGATCTGGTGGACAGCAAGAGTAGAGTAAAGCTGAAGTACAGAGAAAAGCAGAGATGAGAGTTGCACAGAACTCCACAGAGCTGCATTGTCAGCATTTCTATTTCCTGAGTTCCTAGTTCTTTGGGCCGTCTAACTCCTGTCACTGAGGTCATTTTACTTAGCTCAGGTCAAGTGAAGTTGCTGCAATGAGGAGACCTAATTAAGACACTCCAAATATAATCACAATTAGTGCTTAAAGTAATGGTACCATAAGTGTCTATGTTCCTTTCTCCTTCAAATACTTTCAAGTCTACCCATTTACTTGATTTTCATATCAATTTCAAGTTAAGTAAGGAAGGAATCAATACAAGCAAACTAATTAATTTTTAATTGTCCTTCAGTGTCCTTTGGGGCCTCGATTTATTGGATGTATACACTTACAATTGATCCTAACGTTAGACATCTTCTGCAGACATGTTTCCATAGATGAAAGATGTCAAATGAAATATATCCTTCAAATGAATTAGAGAGTCCAAAATGATTTTAAAAAATCCAATTTTATCTAGGCTTTAGATTCAGTCTTCAATATATTTCCTGAATTTTGTTCATGGACTTTAGTTTTGTTTTATTCCCTCACAGTTCTTGTTGGGTCTAATGAACATTCATTTGAATCTAAAAATTGGCCACTTCAGGAAAGAAAAAAAAAAAGAATTCTCGTCTCAATTTTATTTAGTCTTTGAAACTGGCAAGGGGGAAAAGTTTTTTCTCTTCCCTTTTAAGTTCAATAACTGGGGCCCTGCAAATTTAATTTAAAAAAGGACAGTAACGGAAGAGAAGCATATAATTGTATTAGCATATTACATACACAGAATTCACAGAAAAAAAGTAAAATCTTAAAAGGCAGTTAGACTTGGGGACTTATATGTCATTTTAGCAAAGAAAGGGGGTTTATGCTTCACAGGATAAGTTGTGGTAAAGTGACAAAAAAATACATGGGCAAAACATGGAGGATAAAATATGAGAGATGTTATTGTAGTAAATTTTATTTGTGCAGACTCATCTCAATGTCACCTCTCCTTATCTGGTGATAAGAGTTCTCTTTTTCCTCGTATGGAAGGTGAGAGGGGGATACTTTCACAGGGAAATCTATGCCACTTACACAAAGGGAAAGGTATGCTCCATTTCGAGTTGGGTAAAGAGAAGACAGAGAACTCTCCCTACAACTGTTGATTCTCAATTACCTTCAGCCAAAAATAATTCTTATGCCAAAGTTCCATATTTCGGGGTGATATTCTGATCTTCTTCAAAACCTATATTTAATTTGACATTACTATCATTTTCAATTTTTC